AAGATGACATACGATTAATAAGATAGCAAGATGTAAGAACTGCATTCCCCCAAAAACGCAACGAAGCATGAGATTGTTCGAGTAGGATACGAGCAGTTTCAATAAGATGTCTATTTTTTCTTTCAGCTACCCCATTTTGTTGAGATGTGTACGGACAAGATGTTTGATGAATAATCCCATGAGATTTCATAAACTGCTGAAATGGGGAAGACAAATACTCTCGGGCATTATCACTACGAAATGTGCGAATAGAAACCCCAAATTGATTTTGAATTTCAGCGTGGAAGGTCTGAAAAATAGAAAACAGCTCAGATCGATTTTTTATCAAAAATANTAATCCCAAGGTGGAACAGACCCGACTAGGACCCCAAACATCTGACATGACTCACACTCTAGAGCTGACAAGTGAGATAAACCAGATACTATTTTCGAAGTTTTGACAAATTGGGATGTCCCAACCGTTTATGTAATAAATCTGGTGAATCAGTAACAGGACAAGTTGTAGAAGGAAGACAAGATGTGAGTCCATGTGATTTAGCAAGGATAAGGTAATAAAGTCCGTTTGATTCGCACCCGGTACCTATGATCCGCCCCGTACTGCGTTCCTGTATAAAAACATGGTCATCAAGAAATAAAACAGCGCATTTAAGTGATTTGGCTAAGCGACTAACAGCTATGAGATTAAAAGGACTATTGGGAACATAAAGGACTGAATCTAAAGGTAAAGAAGGAAGTGGGCTTGCTTGACCTATTGTAGTTGCCATGGTTTGAGACCCATTGGCCATTGTGACTTTGGGAAGAGATTGAGAATACGAAATAGTAGTGAAAAGAGATTTGTTACCAGAAATATGATGTGATGCACCTGAATCAATGACCCAAGACTCAGAGGATGAAGATCGGGAGAAACAAGTCACGCTATTACCTGTTTGAACAACAGAAGCTATCTCAGAAGATGTCTGCTTACATGCTTTGTACTGAAGGAACTCAATATAATCTGCTAAAGAAACTATTCGACTATTCAAAGCATCGGTTCCCATGTCGTTATAATTTGTAGTAGTAGGGTTAACTTGAAAAAGTGGAAATAAGTAACTCCGGTGAGAAAACTGAAGAAATAGCTTGAAAAACACTGTTTACAGCAGGAAAGCAGAACGTTGTTCTGCGTCGGAAACACTGTTCACACCGGAATCTACTGTAGCGGACGGAAAAACTCAAAGTGGTCGGAATGAAACAAAACCAGTGAGGCTAGGATCGGAATTACTAGACGATCTTACTATTCAGCTGGAACTTTTTTCAAAATCTGGACGGAACAGTGCTCACGTGCCGGCGCGTGGGTCAGATCTCGCCGGAATTTTTTTTCTTTTCTAGGCGCGTGAGTGCGCGTGGACGTGTGTTTTCTGGTGGGGTTGACTAGGGTTTGGTCGCCGGAGCCTGAGGAGTCTTGTGGTGGTGTTGGTTTTTGCATAACACCAACAGAAAGTGATTTGCTTACGGACAACCTTCTAAGTCGCCGGAAAATTGCACGGCAAAGAGGTCTTTCTTCCCGGAAGTCGCTGGAACGATGCACAACGACGAGTTTCTCACTAATGCTCTGATACCATGTGAGAAGACACGAGAGAAAATATGTTATTGATATTAGATAATAAATACAATACAAGAGGTCCCTATTTATAGCTATACACTACAAGAAGATATTACTCATCTTCCAATGTAGGATAAGACTACACTATATATATCTGTAAACTAACAATTACAAACCCAACTATTTAAAAGAGGGGAACAAAAGAAAATAGACTACTAATTTTGAGAAGGAAAGACAACAAAGGGAAGCTAGTGAAGAACGAAAAATCAAGGAAAGTTGCTGATTATTGTTGCCCAAGTTAAATGCCTATTTATAGGTTTTAAGAGAGGTTTGAAGCATGACAAGCACTTGTCTTGAATTTTCCGTGCAATTGCCACACTCATTTCTTCATTGCCACTTGGAAGGACATTTGTCCAATTTTGAAAATATTACAACATCTTCCCAGCTTACTAAGTGAAACTTTCTAGCCTTATCTGGTGAATCCCATAAGAAGTTCCTTCGGAGCATGAAGCAATCACATGTAGTAAGTACATAAGGATGCTAAAAGATATGCTCTAAATTGATTTTTCCTTCCCTCCCTTTACTACTAGCCTTTGCTCAACTCTAGCCTTTCCTCAGCTCTTTCAGTCACCAAATTCCATGCTGCTTGATCCTTGTTAGAACCGCTCGATGGTAAGGCTAGACAAGTAGTTGAAAAAGCGCCAACCCTGCGATTGAGCACCTGTACTTAATTCTCAATGTTGTCCAAGTCAATGGAAAGGAATGAATTTTCACTTCCTCAAGTTTAATTGAAGAGTGAATTCATGTGATAAATTAATCCACTTGGAAGCATACTGCTTAAGAGTCTTAAATTTCACAAATGTTAAAAAGAGAAAATCTTCCCAAATGTATATCTCTTCTCCTTTTATTTATTACCAGTCATCAAAGAGTTCTTGGGACAAAATTAGAAGTGATGCACCGTATTGGTATCTCATTTTTTTTTTTTAATAGTCCTGTTATTTGTTATGTTTATATATCCTTGTTAATTTTCTTCTTATATTTGATTACTTTATTTATACCTTGAACATTTTATTGTAGACTATTGCCTCTTTCTGCAAGAAATCATTGTTAAACCAAGCTACAGTATTATATTCAATGTTCACACGATCGTATTTTGTCATGATGCTATATATGTTAGGTTCTGGTGTTGAAGTTGGATAGATTCGTAGTAGGAATTAAGTTGACCACCAATTTAGAATTTTTTGAGTCCCACTGTTGTTCTAGAACGGTTAACAGACTTATTACATATATTTCACCTTTAAATGTGAGCCTTCTTTGATTCTCATTTATGAAAGAAGCTTCTTTGATTCTCGATTCCCATGCACATGCAACCAACATTAACTTTTCTCTTTTCTTTTCCCTTTCTTTATATATCATTCTTCTAGAAGACATCTTGCAAACATATTCTTTTCCAGTCCTCCACATATTTATATTTTTTCCATATCTTATTGATCTATCCTTGTTGACAGATTATTGAATCAGAGTTGGCATCCTTTAGTCAACAGAGGAAGATTGAAGAACTTGAAGCTCAACTTGAGGAAGCGGAAGATATTGTAAGTGATCTCACGAATGAGTTGAGAGAAGTTCAAGCTGAACTTGAGAGAGTCTACAACAAAGAGAAAGAAGGAAAGAAATCACAGGATCATGATATTACTACTCCTGGAGAACTACCAAAGGAGAACACAATTGTATTGGCTCCAGAATCATAGAATGACTCTGTGACAGCTTCTAATTCAGAGGTCGCCAGTATGAACCAGAAAATTGAGCGCTACCAGTGTTCTCGGAGAAAGGTTAACATTGGAAATTGTTATGTTGCTAGTGCGGATTTACCCTCGGTAAGTTTCAGAAACAAAGCGCCAGAGTTATACCAAAATGGACGTATACAGAGAATTCGTGCTGCTGAAGGAAACCTGTTAGATAGTGAAATTATTCACAAAGACACATTTTCCGGACATTTTTCAAAGATGGAAAAAATGCCAACCAATAATTTCTCGAGAGAAGATTCAATTCTAGCCAAAGGCAATGCTCCTAGTGAAGATCCTTCTAAGATGGCCCAAGGATTGTCCACAGGAAAAGCTGAACAAGGCATGAAGCTGGGATGTGCAGAGAGTTCTGATAATAAACCAGTCTGTTGGGGGCGTCTGATGTAAACAATAGGGTTCCTAGCCAACCTCTAAATGATAGAGTGATTAAGTACAGATTCCAAAGAAAGAGAAAGAGAGAATTGTTGAGTTTATCTGGCGAGAATGCTTCAACTGCGAAGAGCTTCTCAAAGAAAATGAATGTGTGAAACTACATAGCCCCTTCCGGAGACACAGGATGAGTTCAGTGACAGGATCATCTCGGGACAGTTGGCGAATGGCATTCGGTTGCTCAACAGGTTGGTTATTCATTTATGTATTTATTTATTTATTGCCATTGATATTTCTGTTGTATACCTATCTTTGTTTAGATACCTTTGACTGCTGTACCTTCAATACGAGATTTGTATTGAAGTGTTCCCTCACATGAATGTGATGACATGGATTTTTGGTAGGAGCAGGTTGTTGGAGCTCGTCCAACTATTATAATATGCTTTCTCGCGTCCAAGAAAAACAAGAGAATGAAAATTTGACAAAATTTGATGTCATTTTGATTACTTAAAAACTTTAATATGTGAAAGAGGAGAAAACTTGGAAGTTCTGTCTATTTTTAGATCTACGTGGGAAATTGACCGGGAGTTTTGATAATGTGTTGCAACTCCGTGAAGATTGATCTGCTTTCTGGGCTTACTGACAGTCTTCCACAAAGTTTCACAATTTCATCAGTTCCTAGCATTTACGAAGTTTATGCCAAGGAGGCCTCATTCTAGTGTCAAATTACGAAAAATGGCATGTAAAGATTTGCTTTACAATTAGTAGTATTTAGATAGATTAATGATTTGAAATAATTATTATGAGACTTTAATTAAGTTGTTCAATTTCTTTTTATCAAAATGTAAAAAATAAAATCACAAAATAGAGAGAGAGAGAGCATGTTTCTGAGACATTGGTCGTCGATGTGTTATTGTCGATGCATGAGGTTAGTTTTTGTACATATACTGGGTATTTTTGTCTTAATAAAATAAAAAAACAGCTTATGCTTTTGATCTTAATAGGAAGAACCTATTTTCACTTTCTTCCCAACTGAAAAAAACAACTGCTACTGCTACTGAAAAGCACTTATTTTTCCCCCAGAAGTTTGGCCAAACTCCTAACTCTCCAAAATAAATTTCTTATGAAAAATAAAAGCTTCTAGTTTCCCAAAAGTTTGAGCAAACATGCTATGAACTCTGTTCATTATTCCATCAGGATAAATTTTTCAAGAAAGAACATATAGGGATAATGAATGTATCAACTCTGTGTATTGCAAAGAGCAAGTTATGCTGGTTTAATGCTCAGTACTCTTTAGTAATGTTAACAGGTTGCCTTTATGCTTCACATATTGCCCTATTTTTGTTGGTTTGCTGAAAGTTTGATGGCTGTTAACATCATAACATGGTACACTAGTTTCAGGTTTCTGGGAATATGTTGTGTATCTCTTGGTTGCTCATATCTTCCCTATTTGTTCTTGCCATTGAAATTGAGTGTGGATGTCTTCTATGCCAGAAAATGAGGAATGTCTTTTGTCAGCTATTTCTGGGATCCACCTTCGGATGCACTGATAGTATATAGGCATGATGTCCAGTAGGTTTACTATCATTATCGTATCGTTTGGGTGCTGTCATTGTCCCAGTATATGGCTTTGAAATTAAATGTTGTTCATCTTCCCTGTTTAATTCGTTTAATCATCCCTTTTACAGATTTTGTTGTGAATGCTTCTGTTGATAAAGAATCACACTTTTGATGGTTTAATCTGGATTACAATCTGAGGGAGCCTTTGGCATCCCTTGTTACTTTAAAAGAGCTGAAATGGTGTTTATCTTTCCTTGTGTATTGAATTGTTAGGAAAACGTTATCAGTAGGAAGTTTGATCTCATCTGATAATATTATGCCATTGATATATATTGCTCTTAATAACCAAATCTCAGCTAAAGTGATTTTCAGTAATATTATAAGTGATTATTACTAATAACCAAGGTTGAAAGTCTCATATAACTTTGTAACACATTTTTCTTGCATCACTGTTGTGTGAAAAACAACTCTGTTACTGTGTATCTATTGCATGGGAAAGATTTTAATTGAAGAATGTGTATTAAACATAAGCGTGTTTGGAAAGTCACAAGGGAATTGGATTTAAGTGTAATTGGGGATAATTACATAGTTTATCGTGTTTGTTTGGCTAAGTAATTACTAGGACAGTGTGAAATTACGTGTAATTGGGAGGGAGTAATTACACTCCTCAATTCTAAAGGGAAGTAAAGAATTGGGTGTAAGGCAACCTTTCAAATTCCCTTTTTTCCCCTTTCAAATACTTTATGTTTTTCATCTGGAAAATCTTTCCAAATGTTGTCTGCAACTTCACTCCAGGCAATTTGTATGTTATTAGTTCTTGGCCAATTCATATTTTACTCCAGACAGTTCATATTCAAACGATTTGCAACTCATATTTTCTATCTGCAGTTCATATTTTACTAGTTCTATTTTCTAGTTTCTTCGTATAAATATTAACTATAAAAAAATACTTTATGAGCTCATATCTGTCCTTTTTATATTCACATGAGTTGGTAAAGAATTTTGATTTGTTATTGAAATTTTCATTTTTCTCTTTTAAGTTACAATATTATTTATATGGAAGATGCTAATTATTTTCCTTATGATATTATTTAGTATTTAATAATAATTAATATATTTTCATCCAAAAAATATGTATTTTTAGTACACAATAATAAATAATATAT